TGTTCAAGCCTAAAATTTACAATTGAATGTTTCCGAAACAGTATGACAAATATGTAGTGAACAAAAAATATTTACACCCTATACAAAAAAATGAGGTTTACGATGCGCAAGCATATGATATACGTAATTAAAAGTGCAAGTCAAAGTTAGTATGCATAAAAAATAGCAGCTGCTTCTATTAAAAATTTCTAATTAATTATTTAAATCCTTACAAAACGATATACTAACAAACAGTTTAACCAAAGTCAAATTTTTAAATAAACTCCCTTTTGCCATGCAGTTAGCCGCCAAAATAATTAACATAAATATTTTAGTAGTTACATAAGAAACCACCGTTGGATGCTTAGAATTAGTTGCATACAACTTACTAATGATTTGCGTTGAAAAAAGTCAAAAATTTTGCTATGTGGCTAATAGCTTCACAGACACGTTATTATTTTACTAACGTTTATCACTGTCGCGATATTAAAACAAAACAACAACGCAAAACATGTTCAAACGATTGCGGCTAATAATTTTAACAATTTATTGTTATTTACTTGGTAAATATATTTTTATTTTTATTACTATTGCTTTTGTTGCAAACGATAAAGTAAATAACAAAACTAGAGATGTACCGACTGTAGGTCTGGCCGACTAACCGACTAGCCGATTGTTCGGCCAGTAAAAACCGACTAGTCGGCCGTCTGTTCGGCTTTGCTAAAACCGGTTTATAAATGCGACAGAGAGTGTGTTTTTTTTTTCGATTTCTCTGACTACCTTAAAAATTTGTTTTATTTTAATGAAAGGAATAACTAAAGTTCCTTTATTTTCCAAAAAATGTGTTAAATTTGTTTAGATAATTTTAACATTTATTTTTTTTTTAGTAACTCAGTACCTATAAAAATAAAGAATAACACAATTTAGGGCCAGTTTATACAATATTTTAACTGAGATTAAGTTGATCGCGCATTTAACAATGCCATTAGCGACGATTGGCGTAGAATCGGTCACATGGTACTTTAACGCGGTGTTAAAAGTCGCAATTAAATATTTAATTGAGGTTCTGTAAACCGGGTTTAATTGTTTTATATACTATTTTAATTTAAAAAAAAAAAGCCGACCGATCGGCTGTTTAGCCGACCAGTCGCCGACTGCCAGCCGACGATGAAAAACGGCTTATCCGACCAGTCGGCCACTAGTCGGTACATCCCTAAACAAAACCAAACTCAAAAATATTATTTATTTGCTAAAGTTTAAGAAAAATTTTCCGCCAAAAATATTGTATTGGTAATGGATGGGCATGTCCGACCAGTGCAGATAGTAGGAAAATAATAAAAATATTTACTTATACGGGAAATATTGTTAATCCTCTTATTTCAAATTTAGCCTACAAATGTGGAAAATCCCTCCCCTTCGTAAATAGTACCTTAGAGTAACCAATTTTTGCTTTACATGATGTTCCTGTAATTCAGATAAACCCTTGCCTTGATAGGAATAAATCACATATCTACAGATGATCCCACGACAGAAAGAATTACTTTAATTATTTACATATAATTAATATATTTACCGAAAACTATTTAAGTACGGAAACAAAATAAATAATTAACTGGAAAGAATTAACTGTAGCCAAAATAGGAAAATTAATCAGTGAGTTTCACATCTTTCCGGTTTTGAGCGGTCAAGGGTAAATTCAGGTACCCGTGTTTTGTTTGCAATTATTATGGCTAGACAGGCACTGCGGGCTTGTGTACCAAAACTTATTTCCGTACAGTAAAAAGTAGAATTCAACGGATCGGTGCTGCATTTATTCATATTTTAACAACTCACTAACAGGAGGCAGCATCTCCCGGGTAGTTTTATTCTCACTTTGACTAGGCAGATATTTTGCTTCCAGACGGCGATCTTAAAGCTCTGCTAAAGTGTTAACCAAAACCCTGTTTTTAAGCAACACTTGAAAGGCAATAGCATTCTTTATAGTCAGAATGGCGAAATAGGGATTATTGAGATTTTCTGTTTTGATAAGAAGACATCAACAACTGCTTAGGATTACGATAACGACCTCCTCCTCTCCGATGGAGGAATCAGTCGAGCATAATGACGTTTTAATCTGGATGGTCAATGACCTCCGATTCGCAAAACCCTTAAGGAGTCCCCAGCAAAAGTAACGGTAAAATCTGTTTGAGTCTACCCTGTGTCGTATAATCATTAGGATAATTTACAATGTTGCCTGCTGCCGACCTCAGCTTTCGGATTCTGGCCAAGTAAATTTTATTTCAACAAACCTGTGCTCCGAAGTTTCTGGCAGCCGAATAGATGATTGTATCATGAATAAATAATAACAATAAATAATTAATTCTAACTTTCTACGTTGTTAAACGTAAAAATAAACACAAATAGATGGATAATACATATTTGAAAACATTTAATAATTACAAAATTCATGTTTGATTTGACGTTTTCGTGAACTTTTTACAGCAGAAATGTTTATGAGAGTGGAAACATTATTTGAAATGCATTTTGTTAAAATATACTCTATTTCGACTAATTTATTACGAAAGAAGTTATCCGCTTATTAAATAAAGGAACAAAGAGCGCCTAAATATAAATAAAATAAATAATGCAACACAAAGGAGCGAAAATATTGAATTTTATTTTATTTTTTTATTAAAAGTTTAACACTTTGAACAGTAACAATAATAATATATGTATAATATAAAAATATATATAAAATTACTCAGTCAATTCTTGTACAAAAAAGAATGATTGTAGAAAATAATACAATCAATAGTACAATGATTTCCATTTTTTGAGTGCCTCTCGGATCGACCAATTCCGGTAATAAACATTTCATATAAAAATCTATCATTTTTTTCCATTTTTATGTCATTAGGCAACCGTCAACAATTTGCTTCTTTCTTCCATCCACGTACCATTATTGCTTTGACAGCGTGTTTCTTGTTCTAGTTCTAGTTCTAGTTCTAGTTCTTTTTCTTTATCAGTTCTTTGCACGGAGGTAGAAGAGTCTGGCTTTTGACAATTTTCGCCATACTCCCCGTTGTCATCCTTGTCTATTTTGACGTTAGTACTCTTTCCAAAGTTTAGTTTTTTACGAAACACGCTTTGTCTACGCAAACGATTTTTTTAACCTTCTCGTGTCGACGAATTTCTGTTTTTCTAATAATTTTAGAATTGGTAGTTGGTAATATTCCCCTAAAACTTGTGTGAGGCATTCTTGTGTTGTGTGATACAACGGCAGCTGCGCACCTGACTTTGTACGAATTTGAAAGCGAATAGTTTATGCGTTTTCCGCCTACAAATTTGGCAATAATCGGATTAAATTGTTCAACGATATTACTATTTCTGTCCAGCAGCAAACTTCTAGAGTGATTAGCAATACTACAGAAAACATTTGTTACATGATTTAGGAAATTTTCGGATAATTCTAATATTTCATTAGGTTCTTCTGAGCGATTGCAAAAATATTGAGAACAATTGTTATGTTGACCAAAAACATGGTTCACTACGTTTAATATGTCTTTTCTAAAAGCAAGTGTAGCTTGAGATTTGTTTTTTTCTTGTTATCTACATTTAATTGCACTTTTAATACCTGTATGCATGTGCGATTTTTTTTTTCTAATCATTTTCTTTCTCTGACAGGATAGCAATAAGTGTTGGCAACAATTGCCTTCAGTTTTGTGCAAAAGTTCCTTAATATGTAAATGGTTTCGACATTCCACTTTCGAACAAAAAATAAATTGGAGATAAATTAGAGTTCTACATCGAAACAATGTTTTTGCAGTTGTAATTTAGGATTGTCTGTACGGCAACTCTTGGAAAAACTTCACATCTACGTATTCGTTATATGCACACAGCTTGTCACTATAAAGCAACCTTGAACCTTACTATAGCAAGAAGATTATAAAATACAGGGTTAACAGAAAAAAAAATTCTGATTACTTATATTTTTGTTGTATTTAAATTTTGCTTTAAACAATAGTAAACACAATGTATAGTGAACCAAGAGCTATAAGGTTATATGGCCATCATAAAAGTAGTTGACCGCAAATAAATACCCCCTTTGTGTGGTTCGCACTAAGCTTACCGGTTGGCAATAAATCATCTTCTAAACATTTCTTGCTCATATTTAACAGAGCCGGCTTTCAAAGCGAGTGGTTATTTCGGAACCCTCAGCGGCTGCAGGTAGTAAAGAAATAGTGGAGTGGTGGATTTTCATATTTAGTGAAAGCCACCCCTGAACGAAACCACAAGAGCCGGTCGAGCTGCAGTGGATACGTTATTTACGACCCTAAAACCTTTTCTATTGTAAACAACTTAACTTTGACACAATGGGATGATTTTATGATGGCCATATAACCTTATAACTCTTGGTTCACTATAGATACTTTAACAAAAAAAATTAAATAATAAAAATATACATAACCTTCTGCAAAGTCTTATATTTCCATTGCCAGGTAAACCAAAAACTTATGGTTAACAAAAAGTGTTTGTTTTTAGTTAACCATATACCCGATCCAGTTTTCTTTTAAGTACGACCCTGTTTATAGACGACCATAGGACATGAGCCCATTTTTATGGGCCCGTACCGCAAGGATTATTACTGTCGTTATTGTCATAATGGTTTGGATTTAGTTATAAAAGTTGATATAAAGAGGTTTTTCGGGTTTGAAACGTGAAATTAAAGAAAGGTTTCCACGTTTTGCTCACTTTCGTAACGGAGATCTTCAGGAAGTGAAAAGCGAGAGAATGACAAGTCAGTTAAGAGAAACCGAAGTTAAATTCCTTCAGAAGGGAGGGAAATATTATTGACGACGTCGCTCAAAAATTCAAAATGATTGAGTTTTTGTCTCATTGGGTCTCATACCCTCAAACTTATTGTCAAGGAGAAAAACATTTTGGAACTTACATACCTATTTATTTATTTGATAGACACACATCATACATAAAATTGTATAGATTTGAAAAATTATGTTCCACATTACGTTTGTCAGTTAGATTTATTCAGTCCACCGAAGAAGGCACTTTGGGTTTCGACACACATAATACAGTCTCATCTCACTGTCAGCTCTTCGGCTATCGGCTTGGAAAAAAACTGCCTCTCGACGACCACACTGAGGGCATGGATGGCAATCAGTCCTCGGCAAAGCTGGATCATTGATAACATCAGGGACGATATTCCTCAATTCGTCTACGTCTTGCACGATCTTGTTAACGTAAACGCACTTGTTCTGGGCAAGTTGTTTGTGTGGACAATTGCGACAGGCGTAGTAAAGAGTCTTGGTTTCCTTGTCTTCTTTTGGGTACAGCATATTGTTGCACTCGGGGCAGAAGAGAATTCCAACAAACGGAGGACCGTCGCTACGTGTATAAGAGCTTGAAGTTGGTGACTTCCGCATTGTTGAAAGAACACAGATAATTTGCTTAACACGACAAACACCCGTTAAACGAATGCGAAGAAATGAAACATTTTCGGTGTAGGGAGGGTTTAAATACAAGGGGTGGTTAAGGTGGGGTATAGAAATGATTACCAATTCTTCGAAAAGCGATTGTTTCCTAATGGGCAGCTTAAGATGACCACCTGCGGAACGGAGTCTCATTATTGTTATTTCTTGGAAATTTGACAAATGTTCTCTTGTCTCAGTCGTATTAAAATCATAAAGGGTTGAAAAAAAAAAGAAGTTCCAAATTATATAGGCAAAAAAATATCTTTTAATTCTACTTAAAACCATAAATTAAAGATAGATTGTTGCAGTTTTTCACGAAATGTGGAAAGAATATTCCAATAAAAGATCAAAAGGCCTTTTATCTACCCTTCTCGATGTTTTATAATTACGTCTTAATTATTATTAGCAGGCTTAGGCATCACGGATGTGATGCTCATTGGGGTCCGATGGTCTACAACTTCTTGAAGTCCTAATAACAATTAAAATTTTTTCTAGATTTTCCTCAATTATACGAGTTGTCCTGGATGCTAAAATTGCTTTAAAAATTAAAAATGACTGTTTAACATCACAATTTTTGTGATGATCTTGATCAGAACTGAATCAAAAGCCAGTAAGGTTGAGACTGCACAATTTATCGCCTGATGTCGCGCCGTCATATTTAATATTTGTCTGATTAATTCCTCATCACTTCGACGTTGCCTAACTTTGATTATTAGTGAATCTCAACTCCTGGCCAGTATGGGTGCTCACTAAATCGACATCGTAATTCCGGTCCGCGGTCATCTTCGCATCTTGGGCATGGCAAATATCTACCTGACTTTAATTAGCCTTATTTAGAGCGGGAGCAAATTTAGTTTAGTTTAATCATTTTAATAATTTGAACAATATTAGCATTCATGAAGTCAAAAAATTTGTTCTAATTTACAATAATGTTCTATTTATATGAGACACATTTTTCAAAATTCAAATTCAGTTGGAAATCTTAAAATGTGGTTTTTATAATAATTATTACAATTTTTTGCAATAAATTCTGCCGTTGCCTAACTAAGGTACTTCATTTATGATACGTCTACTTTCCGGCTTAAGTATTTAATTTCACGTTTGTTTCTAGTTGAATGGATTTTAGAATAGGACTTTAAAAAGGGACAGTTAAAATTTGCTTTAAGTTTACAATAGGTGCTCTTATCAGTTTGGACCGAGGTTGAGGTGAGGGATTAAGGCATTCCAGGTACCATTTTAACGAGATATGACCTTGGATCGATATATGGTTGCCGACAAAAAGAATTCAAGGAATGCATTAGACTAGCAGATTGTAATACAAAATTTATTTATTTAGTGCTTTAGACCACAGCCTGCAGTAAAACCATTAGGTACGCATTAGGAATGCATTTACTAGAGAACAAATACGGTACTGGAAAATTACAAAGATAGCGACTAATTTTGAATGACAGCTTTACTCAGGGTACAACTTTGAAAGCGGCTGGAGATTTTCCAGCGCCAACACTCATAATTGGAGTCATTTGCATTTATCTTTTGGTGGACTTTACTCATTTTTTTAACGATGGTAACTGAGAGAACGAGCAAATTATTAATTATGCGTACACTTGGAACCAATTCGTAAAGTACCCAAAGTACATAAATATAAAGTACATTTTATTTTCTGGGACTAAAAAAAAAACTAACAAATTTATTGTATTTAATTCGTGATTATTATAAATCATCCAACAAATTGGTATTAAACATACAAATCCAAAGAAATATAGAGCCTCTGCCATTTCTAATGAAACACCACTTGTTAATGACGTCATCACAATGTCAAAAATAGTTTTTATACTTTGTTATGGAAAAATTCATTGAAACAGCATATTTCTGTACGTGGAGGTAAATTCTCGAACTCACTCGAACCAGTTGTGTTCTTCTATTTAATTATGTGTTTTTTTGTTTACAAATCTGGGAACAATCAAATTAACTTGTTCAATCATATTACTAAATTACTTGATAGTTAACACTTTGTATAAAAATCTACCCTTTTTTTCCATTTTTGTGTATCAAAATATGCCATTGCGCATAATTCTCCTAATTGTCAGTCTTCCTATCATGTTGATACTTGTATTTGATAACCTTTTTTATTTTTTACAGAACGTTTTTGTTAGCTTAGTCCAATAGCTTCATCCGGAAAAAGTTCTAGTTGGTAGGACGCATGGTGGCATGTAATTTCTACTAAAATAATCTTGTTCTATTACTCCAGTAGGAGAAGCTCCAAAAAAAGTATTTTTTTGTCAATAAATAAACCGCCAGGCTTGTATATAATAGAGACTTTCTTTAGTTACTATGTTCCTTTTTAGCCACTTCTTCGTAGTCTCTACCATATCTTAGTGATTTTATATTCGAATATTGACAGCTGTATAATATATTATTTACAAGTTTAGGTCTATTTGCATTTTTCTTTCTGGTAATCCTATTAATAAATGAAGTTAATTTTTTCAACTTTGGAGTTTAGTATTTTCTGAAGTGAGTTTTTTTTGTGGTTTCTCAGCAAATTACCATTGAGCTTATCCGTGTTTTTTTGATCACCCTGTATGTTTTCTGAAAAAAATCATGTAGTGAATTGCATCAATATTTTCTGGGGTAGACAGGGAAATCAGTCTTCCGGGTTTCTCGTCATCTTGAAAATTTACCCTTCCTGAAACAGGCAACCTAATTTTTACGGTTGCGCAGTGCTTTAAACATTTTTGTGTGAATCGCCTTACACTTAAACCGTTTTAACAACAAGTTCAGTATTTCCTGAGGATCATAAACTCTACTGTTTTTTGTAACCTCTTTATTTAGAGGGTTCTTAAAAGCCTTGCATTTCTGTTGCCGGGTAAACCAAAAAAATATGGTTAAGCGAAATGTTTGTTTTTAGTGTGTACATCATACTCGATCTAGTTTTGTTTTAAATACGACCCTCTTTATATACGACTGATTACAGCATGAATCCATTTTTATGGGATTATTACCGTACGTTGTCATAAATGGTTTAGCTTAAGTTATTAAGGGTGGCGTCTGGTTCGGTTTCGCCCGATATTAAATACATTGAAAACATCGTCGTAGTTTCCGGAATTGCATTTTTAAAATACTGAAATCTCCAACCAAGTCAGAATTTAAGTAAACCTGCATTCTGCTACCGCATCACAGCTCGTTTAATGCCGATTTCTCGTTTCAATAGATTTTGACTTTTCGCGAGTTATTTACCTCAGTCGTGGATTTTTTAATATTATAAATGGTATCAAAAGAAAGCTGACACTTTTCCCCAGGGGACCTCCTATCTCAGAATGCAAAAAACTTCAGCACTTCGTCAAAAACTGCATCAATGTGCCGGTTAAAATGTGATGTAAAAGTTGTTCAACTTTATAATTTTTTTTTGTAAAAACTGCATACTAGATATGAATATAAATATGGAGGTCCCCTGGACTGAAGTTTGTTAATTCGAAATATAACATTTTTAAAGCGATATATCTCATATTTTTAAAATGCAACTCCAGAAACCGCGACGATGTTTTCAATGTATTTAGTATAGGGCTAAACCGAACCAGACGCCAGCCTTAAATTATTAAATTTTAGCTAGGTTCATGTCAACTGCACTTACTTAAGAATAGTTTTTACGCAAATATAACAACAGAATGTTTAAAAATGTTATTTAAAACAAGTAAACTTCATCAAAGTTTCGGCTCTGAAGTACCGGTTCTTGGCTAAAATTTTGTTAAAACTGTAACCAAGGTTTGTTAACCCTGAAATACCGTGTCTTAAAAACAATAACATTCATTATAATCAGAATAGCTAGTTAGGAAACAGTGAAATTTTCTGTTTTATAGGAAGACATCGATAAAGTGCTTTGGATTATGTTAATGATCTCCTCCTCTCAAATCCTTTGCCCGAAAGGAATAAAGGTTCTTGGAATTAGATGAGCATTATTATTATTACGGTTTAAGCTGGCTAGTTTACGACCTCCGATTTGCAGAACTGTTAATCCTTTCAGTCAAGCAACCTAAAAGCTTTATAAGTTATATATCACTATTATTATTATCCTGAGTATAATTTATTATTTATGCCTTCGACAAGAAAATACGACGTCATACTCTCTAATCGAAAAAAGAAATCCAGTTTTTGTTTATTTTTTTTGCAAATTTTTTTAAATAAGCATTTTAATAATAAAATAATTAATATTTTTGTATTATGGTATTTATCCATTCACGATCTTTATATAGTAAAGTAGGCTATGATATTTTTTCTTTAAGTTGGATAAACTGATTTGATGATTTAGTTTTTTGTCTGTCTTTTCTACTTCATTTATTAGATCAGAATTATTAGACGCAATCAAGCAAACAAATGTTTTAATTTTGTCAGCATAGATAATTTGTCATTGTGATAGATTCACAGATCATTGCGACATTATTTAAAAAGAAAATGCCTAAAATAGTTGTACTGCAACAAAAAATTGCAATAAAAATGTTTTTTGCAGTTTCGAAAAGACAGACCCGATCTTTCGAAGAAGTAACTATGAGGGTCTCGAACATATTTTCTGTAATGTAAAAATACGCTGCAAAATATTTTTTAATTTTTTTTTTTTCATAGGTGGGAACATCAACTGTGGCGAAAATTTTATCAACAGAGGACCAAAATTTAAAAACATCACTATCTGGCAAGCGAAAACGATCGGATTAATTTACAAATTATATGTTTCGGAAAGACCTGCAACGACAAATTTGGCAACTTAATGAAAAAAACGAATATTTCACTGTAGATACTCTATTTGACATATTCTAGGGAACAGTTGGAATTTAAAGGGGGGCGAATCACATTATACAAAATTCTTAAGTCAATGGGTTATAAACACAGGGAAGTAAATGGTCGCAAAATTATATGTGAACAAAAACATGTCGTTGCAGCCAAAATTACTTTTTAGAGAACATATTTACAGTTTCTAAATTCTTGTCAAAATTTGACTTTCGTGTATTTGGATGAAACATGGATCTATCAAAATGGTTCGTCCATTCGTCGCTGGGTGCATAATACCACAGTAGATCAGTAACGAAACTTCAGCAATATTTGTGGAACGGATGTGACCTTGGGACCCCGTTCCCGCGAAATATTTGTATTCACAATCGGTCGGTAGTATACGGTTTTCCAAATTTTAAAAAGTTGGAAAATGAGCTTTTGTTCGCCAATGTACTTTTTTAACTCAGTGTAGACACTTTTCAACCTATAAATTCCAGGCAACTGAATTTTAATAGGATTTAACTACTTACGTGTTTACTGCGTAGGAAAAGCGGGGTTTCTATGTTCATGTAAAACTTTTTTTACAATTACTGGAAAACTACCACTTTTCTACTTATTAAACAATCCACTGGTATACAAGCACGCGAGTTAAACATATTATTTACTCGAAGAACTAGCCCACTCGCCCTACGAGTTTGTGCTAAACATTTTTCTCGGTGAATAAAAATGAGCTTCGCTCACTTTCGTGTACAATTTACATGATTTTTTTATTAATAAAATACTTAATAGCATTACGTACTTGTGGTTTTTATTTAACGTTAAAGTACTGGTACCTAAAATAAAAAAATGTGCCTCCTTTTTCTGTTGAAAATGAAGCACAGTCAAGCTAAAAACGATAAAGGAACAAATTTGCTCCTCTCATCAAAAAAATGTTTAAATAACATTGCAGAGTGAATATTTTTTCTATACCGCTTCAACACAAAAAAAATGTCTCAAAAGTGGACAATTCGATTCTTCCTTATGGC